TTTCTCCTCGAGGATGGGTATCTCTTCAAAACTCAAAAACTTTGTATCCCTAGCACATCCCTTAGGGAGTTTCTTCTTTGGGAGCTCCATGCCAGAGGCCTCGCTGGGCACTTTGGTCGAGATAATACGATAGAAGCTGTGGAGTATCGTTTCTTTTGGCCTAGTCTGAAGAGGGATGTTGGTTGGATGGTCAGTAGGTGTCACACGTGCCAGTTGGCCAAACAACACAAGCAAAACACTGGTCTTTACACACCCTTATCTGTCCCCAGTTGTCCGTGGCAGGATGTTAGTATGGATTTCGTTCTAGGTCTACCTAAAACCTCTCACAAGAATGATGTCATATGTGTTGTGGTCGATCGCTTCTCAAAAATGGCACATTTCCTGGCTTTCTCTAAGACGTCTGATGCCTCTCACATCGTCAAATTATACTTCAATGTGATCGTTAGACTTCATGGCCTACCCAAAACTATTGTTTCTGATAGAGATGTCAAGTTTACCAGTTATTTCTGGAAGACTCTATAGATGAAGATGGACACTAAGTTACAATTCTCCACCGCCTTCCAACCACAAACCGACGGCCAAACGGAAGTTGTCAATAAGAGTTTAGGCAATTTGTTAAGAGCACTGATAGGTGAACACGTTAAGGATTGGGATTCCAAGCTCCCTACTATCGAATTTGCCTACAATAATTCAGTTAACCGCACCACTGGTCTGAGTCCTGCTGAAGTTGTTTATGGGTACAAACCTAGACAACCATTAGATCTTATACCCATGAGTTCCAAATATAGGATTTCTGAGTCTACATCCTCATTTGCATCACATTTGCATGAACTGCATAAGGAAATTGCACGCCAAATTGAACAAAGTAATATTAATTATAAACTTCGTGCTGATCTAAAACGAATATTTAAAACTTTTGAGGTTGGTGATTCAGTAATGGTGCGAAATCGTCCCGAACGGTTCCCACAAGGAACTGTTAAGAAGTTGCATGTTAAAAGTGAGGGTCCATTTAAAATAGTCAAGAAAATCAATGACAATGCATATGTGGTGGATTTACCTACAGAATTCAACATTAATCCCTCTCTTAACATAGAAGATTTGGTAGCTTATGAAGGTCAAGAGTTTAACCCACCAAATCCACTTCAAACTGAGCCTTGTGTGACCCCACCTTATGAGAACCCCAGCCTACCCCTACTCTCAAATTTAAACAAAATACCTATAGCGAAGAAGGTTAATATGATACTGAATGACGAAATTATTTCCACAAAAGGTGGACGAAGGAGGTATTTGATAAGGTGGAGAGATAAGCCTAAGTCAGAGGACACTTGGTTGGAGAGCGAGGAGTTGGAGTGCGGGGAGCTTCAACAGATTGATCCAGATGCATTGGAGATTTACGAGGGTTCCCAGGATGCATACTCGACAGAGTCGAGCTCTTTTCCACCCCGGGAGAGTGATGAGAACATCAGATCATGGAAAGTATATCAAAGACGTGGACGACGATCGACGGCCACGATCAAACCAATCTATTTTTTTTTATTATTGTATTAGTTTTATGTTTTATGAGTTTTGTTATTTTCTTCCGTTTATACCCTCGCTTAAAGGGTTTAGTTGTATGTGTGCCCTAGGGGCAATTATGTCTTTTGTTTTTCATTCAACATGTATGGCTATATATAAGCCACTTGTATCTTTTGAAGGTTAAGAAGAATGATATGAAAATTTCTACCTTGTGATATTGAGAGAGCTTAAGAGGAAGTTTGGGAGAAGAAGCCCAGGAGAGGCCAAGCGTAATACCCAATAGCCACCATCGGTGAGCTCTTGGATTTCCATAATTTTTCCTTTCTCATCCTTTCCCTCTTACCTCCCCACCGCCGGCATACTCTCCCCACCCCCTCCCTCACTCCACGGAAATTCCCCCCACACCACCACCCCACCGTCGATCATACCACCCGTCGCCCCTTGTCCCCGTCCCCACCACCACTTCATGCCACCGCCCCTCTCTTCC